ATAATTGAGCGGACATTATGAGAGAAATTATTCCAGACATAAAGCACCTAAATATTCAGATTCAAAACTGTCATCACAAAGAAAGAACTGACCCACCAGAAGTCACATTACTGTGAAACTTCAGAATACCACATATAATCTCTCCAAGACGATATGGGATAGTGGAAGATAAGGGAGTAAAGTTCTCAAAATTCTGAGGGGAATTTATTTTCAACTTGGAATTCTGTAAGTAGCCAAACTATCAGTCTTTTATGTGTATAGAATATTTTTCAAACATTCAGGCTTTCTAAATATTTGATATTCCATGCACCGTTCTCAGGAAGCAAGTGAAGGTTGGTCTCCATCAAAATCGGAAGAAAGTCAAGAAGGAGTTAGTTATTTGATTTCAGAAACAGTTAGTCAACAGAAACACAAGTCAACAGTCAATCACCAGGATGATTTTAAATGGAATTCCCAGGACAGCACCTGTGCAGTTGGTCTCAAGAATAAGCAATTCCAATTGGAACATGAGAATGAAGAGTTACAAAGGAATACATTCAGGAAAACAAATTAATAGAAAAGGTAGCCTTCCTGACAGTTTGGGCTCTTTGGAAAATTACACTGAGTGGCCTTTTTTTATAGAGTTGAAGAATGCTCTAAGACTTAGGATAAAATTGAAGAAAATCAAGCAAAGAAAACGATAAGGTCATCATCACAGAAAAACAGTGATGGAGAAATGGAATTATACTCATACACCACTTGGTTGAGCAGTGAATTGTCACAATAATGAAAATATTAATGTTTAGCCATAACTTGTACTGAAAATATACGGAAGGGGAAGTAAGAATATAAGAGAATTAAGTCTTCATTGTCATATGTGAAAGTCAATAGTTACTATCTTAAAGTTGATGACTTGAAAAAGAGCAATATTCCTTTATTATTTAGAAGTGTGCCAGAAAGTAGAGATAAAATATTTAAAGGCACTACCTCAGAAGAACAGAATATGAGGAAAATTTGGCCCTCGTGTCAAGGGCACAAAGTTTTGCTGATAACGTTGTTATAATTCCTTTTACTGTTTGACTTTTTCGACTTTGATAAACATTAAAATTATTTTAAAAAATTAAATGAGAGAAAGAAGAAGTCTTAGTATTCTAAAGACCAAAGTGTTATTTTTCTGCTATTCACATATCACTGATTATACAATATGCAGACACAACCTTTCTGATACCACTTTTCACTTGTGTGATTTCAGCCCTCTGCTCATAAAATGAATTAACTTTTTTCATATCTGGGCTAAAACCATTCCCCCCAAATTTGACAGGTATTGAGGTTTTTTCATAAAAGAAAGTTATACAACTCTGAAATTTTCACTTAGGGAAGAAATAATTATCAATCTATATGTTAAAACACGACACTATTTTAAAAGTTTTAATGGTCAAGACCTCTCTCTTTCAGAGGCAAATTTAAATAGCTCACTCAATTTTTTCATTTGCAAATATTATGTATTCCCTTTAATATGCTAATATGAATTTCATCTTCCTGAGAAAGGCACAATACACATCGTGAAGTGACTTATATAAGACTAGTAGTTTGAAGTTTGCACTGTTATGTGTATCTATTTTCCGAAGAAGGATAATTTTTTCTAAATCATTAAATGTGTGATGAGGGTTAGGGACTTTCAAATCTATAACAGATTTTGGCCAAGTTTCCAGAAACAAATACTTTATTTAAACACTTTTATTTTTTATGAAACTCAAAATTTCACATTAATAATAAAAAACTAGCAATAAGAGTTGAATATCTTATATTTTCTCTTATCTCTACATATGTTATGTTCTCTTTTCAGCAAATCAGTATTTCTTGGCTCCCTGTAGTTCTCACTATTTTTCATCTTGCTCTTTCCCCTAAGGTTTCTGTAAAACTTCGAATTCCCTGCTCACATCTACTCTTTTTCTTGTCACTTTGGAAAGGAAGCATTCTAGCCAAGAAGGGTTTGGACTGACACTCAAGGCCTGTGGAAAGCAATTTAGTAACATTCCTTGACCTCAAGGAAAGTTTGAATCTTCAAGTTAAGAAAGAATCATGTAAAACAAAACCACAATGGATTCAAAACATGGTCTATATTTTATATTCAGGGCAAAAATGCCTACAACAATAAAAATATTTTAAATTAGGTATTTGTGATAAGACACCCATCCTCTATTTCCAGGAAATATTCTGCAGTCAATACACATGCAATCCAGTCTCATGCAGTTTTTGTGCTGAAATTGCTATACAATAAGAACTAATGTTTAAAATAATCCCTATGAAATTAAATATCCAGTATAATTAAAATGAGAATTTAGTTTAAATAGCGTTAAATAATGGGAATTAGACTAAAACAATTTGTAAACAGTATTATTTCAACCGAGGGCTTTCTTCTGGGTCTTGGTTAACATAAATTCACAGTTAAGTCCTACCTAAACAAATACGTTAGGCCGGGCGCGGTGGCTCAAGCCTGTAATCCCAGCACTTTGGGAGGCCGAGACGGGTGGATCACGAGGTCAGGAGATCGAGACCATCCTGGTGAACACAGTGAAACCCCCTCTCTAATAAAACTACAAAAAACTAGCCGGGCGAGGTGGCGGGCGCCTGTAGTCCCAGCTACTCGGGAGGCTGAGGCAGGAGAATGGCGTGAACCCGGGAGGCGGAGCTTGCAGTGAGCTGAGATCAGGCCACTGCACTCCAGCCTGGGCGACAGAGCGAGACTCCGTCTCAAAAAAAAAAAAAAAAAAAAAAAAAAAAAAACAAATACGTTAATATCCCCTGATCTTCTGATGATGACATTCAATAGACTGCACTTCCATCCAGTGCATCAAGACAAGAAGCTGGGAAGAAGTTTGGCGTCTTTCTCCTTCCAACAGACCTTCACATTTTGCTCATTGTACTTCTTAAATACCCATAAAGCCCAACTATGATTCTCTGTCTTTCCCACTGTTGTCTCTGTTGTATAAATTTCCTGTACCCTGGCACTCAACTGGCCTCACTACTCTCCTCTGTTCTTGTCTTTCCCTGCTTAAAGCCTTTTACTGATTTGCCCTTATGACACATTTTAGCCTCTTAGTATATACTTCAAGACCCTCCATGATTGATTCCACTCCCCATTGCATGTGTTCATATTTGTTTCAACCTGCCCTCTCCGTTTTTTTCTCACACCAGCTACACTAGTGCTCCCATCCCTTTCTCATCTGCTGCCCCCATACCACTGCTTGTCCACTTAATGACAAGGTTGGAATTCTCCAACCTTGTCCCCTTCTTCTTTGCCTGATTACCTCCTATGCATCTTTTGAGCCTTCATTTAAATGCCATTTCTGCAGAGTAGGCTTTCTTGCTTCCTAATTTAATAAATGTTGTAATCACTTTATCGATGTGCTGCTTAGGTTGTAGGTTTACTCTCATTTGTAACTATGCAATAGGCAGGAGATGCCAATAGTTTTAGAAAGTAACACATTTTAAAATGGGAAAACACTGTTATTGATAAAAATCAAAGAAATCTCAATTACTCATCTCAACTGAACATTTAGGGATCGCTAACAGAACATTAATGTGGGGTCTACAATTTGCCGTTGCCTCAATTTTTTGTAATACTAAAAATACTCATTTTTAGCATTCATTAAGTGGAATTCCTTGCCTATACCTTCAGTTCAACTTGAATTGATTAATTTCTGATTAAATATTTGTTTGTGACAGAATTTAGGAACAATTCTAATACTTGCCAAAAGATTCATATTGATTTTTCAATAATTGTATGTGGCCAATAGTATTAATGAGTCCAGAGAAAAATATATTTTTTAAAAGATACCTAAGGAGGACATTTTGAACAAATGTTTTTACATACTGTTTTTTGTTCTCAAGTGTATAGTATAATAGTACCTTAATAAAACCTTAATTTCTCTCTCAACACTACTTTAAAAGGTAGGCAAAAGAGTATCACCATTTTCTTTGCATAAACAGGGAGTCTAAATGGTGCACTGAAAACCAACACCTATTAAGTTACTGACCCAGAATTAGAATCTAGGACTCCAAGTTCAGAACTCTTTATTATCCATCCTACTCATGTGTCATAATCCTGAAAACTCAAGGTATTAACACCTTTGAAGTAACAATGCTCTCTCCAGATATTCCTATTTCAAAATGCAAATAATTCTATGAAGATTGCATATTAAAACACGCTGGGCCGGGCGTGGTGGCTCACACCTGTAATCCCAGCACTTTGGGAGGCTGAGGTGGGTCAATCACAAGGTCAAGAGATCGAGACCATCCTGGTTAACATGGTGAAGCCCTATCTCTACTAAAAATACAAAAAAATTAGCTGAACGTGGTGGCGGGCACCTGTAGTCCCAGCTACTTGGGAGGCTGAGGCAGGAGAATCACTGCACTCCAGCCTGGCAACAAAGCGAGACTCCGTCACAAAAAAAAAAAAAAAAAAAAAAAAACCCACCATGCCTATATGTGAATTAATTTATCATATCATTTTCCCTTAAGACAGAGAAGCTCTGGGATAGTAGAGATTTATAGTCAATAATGGATGGATGGAACAAAAAAAAAAAGACTGTCAGAAAAATAGAAGTAAGAGATGCATTAAGGAAACTTTCCATATTTACTCTTTTGTTGACCACCTCCATACAAGAAAGCCTCATTCTCACTAAATATGTTCTACCTTTTAAAAGTAGCTCTTTTCTAGTCATATTTAACTGGCAGTAACAAAAATAAATTAGTAGTTTGATCTGTCTGTTCCTGATAGTTATAGCACCTCACATGTGAATAGTACCGTACAATTTACAATATACTTGTATATTCATTATTCAATTTGATCCTTGGAATGGATATATGGTTTGCTTATTGGTCGATGAGGAATCTAACTCTCAGAGGCTTAATAGTTGAAATAAAGACAGACTCTCATTTTTCAGCCTTTAAAACCTTTCTTTCCCAAACTCCACAATGTTCATGCTCATAGAACACCTTTCTCAGTGGATACTCACATTTCATCACACCTTGAATTTCATAAACAGGCTTGAGAATCAGGGTACCATAAAAGTCTTTAGGAAACAGATTCGTTGAGTCCCACTTATTTGAAAAATCTGTAAGTTTTACAGTTCTTGTTCTGTTCTTAGGAATCTTCCATTCAACAATCTCCTTTAAAGTATAAATACGTTCATCTTCACATTCGTAGAATTTTCCTTCTTGTGACAAAGGCAAATTAAATGAGTGATTTTGATGATTCCTTACTACTGTACAGCTCACCATTATTTCTCCATCAATCTCTTCAACTGAGTTGAGCATGATTTGCTCACCCTGCTCTATGATGAAGTTCTCTAGTTTTATATCCTTCTGATGATAGAAGCAAGGATGCCCTAGTCTACTTGGTCCAATATGAATGGTCCTTGTGATTTCTTCCATAGTAAGGTACGGAGTTTTATCAGCCATGATCTTAAAAAGACCTAAGAACAGAATTATGTGAATTAAAAAGAGACTTCTTACAATGAAAATTCTCACAAGAAAATCGCAATGAGAGAGTTATAACACAAATACTGTGTACATTTTTAAAGTGATACCTTTTTAAAGATAAAAGATGCTTGTTTTTATCCAGAGTTCTTCTAGGTAAAATTATGAAGTATTGCTTTTAGATCACTAGATCATTAGACCAGACAATACAAATGGAGATAAGGGGAAAATACCTTGAAATAGAAAAGACCCTATTCTTGGAAATGGGAAATCTGGATGACACTGGCTCTGTTCCAACTACTTTGTGATCTCAAGCAAGACATCTTACTTCTCAGTCATATTTTAATTTTTTTATTTTTAAAATGAGAAGATTGGATTTGGTCAGCTTTTTTATGAATATATGCTCTAGACACACTAAAATTAAAAGATATTCCCAAAGGGATGGATTTGTAGTCATATTAATGATTTAAAAACTATATATCTGGGCCTGTAATCCCAGCACTTTGGGAGGGTGAAGTGAGAGGATCGCTTGAGGCCAGGAGTTTGAGACCAACCTCGGCAACATGGCAAATCCCCATCTCTACAAAAAATACAAAAATTAGCTGGGCATAGTGGCATGCACCTTTAGTCCCAGTTACTTGGGAGGCTGAGGTGAGAGGATTGGTTGAGCTCGGGAGGTAGAGGTTGTAGGGAGCCACGATCACTCCACTGCACTCCAGCCTAGGCAACAGAGTGAGACTCTGTCTCTCAAAAAATAAAATAAAATAAAATAAAATAAAATAAAATAAAATAAAGCTATATAGCTTGGACTAGATAGATAGCAGTGATGATTGCACAATATTCCAAATGTGCTTAAAGCCACTAAACTGTACACTTTAAAATGGTAAAGTTCATGTTATGTGTATTTTACCACAATGAAAAGTATCTGCACAGGTCCGAATAATGTAAGACTTATTAGAAACTTTAAATACACTGTGACTCTCAAGAGAAGAATATGAGATGCAGAATTTCCCAAATTTCTTTGATTATAAAACCCTTGTAGAAAACACACATTAATAAATCACAACATACTACATCACAGAACCCTCCTTGAAAACACGAGGCTCTGTAGTTGTTCTGGACTGACTGCTCTTGACTATATTTCAATTGTTCTTCTCATTTTCTCTCATTACTTCTCTAATTTTTCCATTAGAAAATAGCACTATTTTCACTATTTCATTGATATCTATTTCACCAATTTCAATATTTAAAATGTTATCTCTATCAGGATAACCAACTACTACAATAAAATTTTACTGCTTAAGATACAGCTTTTTGTATAATGTATGTCTAAGTGGTTCCATTTGATTTATTTTATTTTTATTTTATGGGCACATCTGCTTTGTATCACTTTCAGAAATGCATTTATTGAATAGATTTTAATAAATTCCAGAGAAAATGAGAACAAAGCAGAAATTAGCTAATTGCCTTCTTAACCAAAAGTAATTAAGAATATTGTATACTAGCATGCTCTAAGATAGTATATTTTTAAAAACTTAGTAAAATTATATAGCTTCAAAAAATCTTTTATTATTTCATCAACAAGTGTATTCCAATGAAATTCATCTATATATCAAATCATTTTTAGCCAGATTATAGTATCATTTTTGTATATTTTTGGTTACTGTTCAAAGATTATTTTAATCCGTTATTTTTGAAGTCGTTTTTACTCATACAAACAAAAGGAATTTTGGTGATTTTTAGACATAAACTTCCTGAAAAACTGTGACTGATGGAATCTTGGCAGGAATGAGCAAGGTAGCAAATGCAACCTATCCTAAAAACTTAGAAATGGAACAGTGTTCATTCACTGCATGGTACGCTTGACTGAAGTAAGGGAAAGACACATTTACTTTGAAGGAATTTCTCATTTTATTACATCTTGTATCAGGGAGAATTCAATAAAATAGTGTTCTTGAATTCACCACAGTAAATGAATTTGTGTGTGTGTCTGTGCCTGAGTGTGTTTAATCTCATTTGTCTGTGTGTGAAGATTTATTTCTAAGAGTCCACAATCATTATCAGGGTATAGAAAATTCAGCAGTTATTGTGAAATAAGTTTTTAAAAAAATACTTACCTAAAATCTCATAAAGGATAGAGACACATAGTTTTATTTTTATCCTAGCTGTATCGATGACATAAGTCACAGAGAATTAATTTGGCGTCATCTTTCTTGGGGAATAGAGCTCACCTAAGGTAATAACACACCTAAAATATTATGAAGTAGGAAAAGACTAAAACCCTAAGGGCCACCATTATTTCAGTTAATCACGCTATTCAGAGCTGTCTTGCTGGATGTTTCTATTGCAAGAAAAATGTGTCTGTGAATCTGTGTGCTTTTCCTTAAAAGATGATGAAGTACACAGTTTAGCATATTAAAGTGGCACAATATAGGAAAAATATTTGATTAACTTATCTCTTCATATACTATTGCAGCCAATCCAAGTAATTCTTTTTAATAACAGCCATTGAAAGCCATAAAACTAGGGCATGTTGTTGTTGTTGTCTTAATATGATGCCATATTGGAACTTCAGTTTCACAATGAAGAAAGTTAAATAAAAAGTTAAATAAAAAGCACCATTGGGACTTATTAGATCTAAATGTGACCCATTTTTTTTCATTTTTTTTCTCAAAGTGTACAATAGTTTTATACTGGGAAAAATATGCTTTGTTATTCTTCCAAATAAAGACAAGACACATTCTAAGAGTTAAGTAATCAAGTTATTAAAATAAGCCAACATGCAACCTTTATAAAACAAGTTAACAGATGAAAATAGATGTCTATTTCCACCTTGGATTGTCAAATCTCTCTCTTTTTTTTTTTTTTTTTTTTGTTGTTGTTGAGATGGAGTCTTGCTCTGTCTCCCAGGCTAGAGTACAATGGCACGATCTCAGCTCACTGCAACCTCCACCTCCCGGGTTCAAGCGATTCTTCTGCCTCAGCCTCCCGAGTAGTTGGGATTACAGGTGTGCACCACCATACCCAGTTAATTTTTGTATTTTTAATAGAGACAGGGTTTAGCCATGTTGGCCAGGCTGGTCTTGAACTCCTGACCTCAGGTAATCTGCCCACCTCAGCCTCCCAAAGTGCTGGGATTACAGGTGTGAGCCACTGCACCTGGCCTGTTAGTTCTTAAAAGGAATTTTCTTGTTATTTTTGAATTAGGAGACATTGCTCTTAAAAAACATGTCACTTAACTAAAAAAATCATGGGAAATGCAATAGATTGAGCGGTTAAAAATTAATTAATAAATGAAGGTAGTCTTTCAAGTCTTTTCCTTGAATCTTTTTAACCCATTCTTAATGATTTGCAGGTGTTATTAACAGTAATTACAACAATTGAAATTTGTTTAGAAATTTACAAGTTTGAAAACTTTTTCATATGCATCATTTATCCTTACAATAATCTTTTGAGGACAATGAAAGAAATATTATTACTATAGGGGGATATGAAAATAGTTGCAATTTTTACAACTGGTAGTCATAGCTCTGGAATCTCAATCTGAACTTTGACATCCAAGTTTTGCATCCTGCCACAAGCCAGGCTTGCCTCCCTGTTGTATGTATGACTTACAAGGACATTGCTCATGAGAAGAACATGTTTATAGGTCTTACCAGCCAGCCCTCTCTTTACATGGATCAGCCTTCCCCAGATGCCACAGTGTGAGAAGAACAATAATGATCTCCTCGTCCTACTGTGAAGGCTTTGATGGGTTATTTCATGCACACCATTTCAATCTAAAGATGAATAGAGATACTTGAGCTAGAACTTCTAATGGAAACACTGGATTTGGGATAATCTTGAAAAAGATACATTTGTAGAATATACCAACCTAAAAATTGTCTTGGGAATGTAACACAATGATAGAAAAGCCACAGAAACATGTGAAATGAGAATTATATATGACAAATATATAATAACAAGGATGTTCAGGTCGGTATATTCCACAAATCCATCAAAGCAAAACGTTCAAAACCCTCAAAGTATTGGAATATAAAATAACAATGTCTGAACTGAGAAGAGTCTCCAGATTTTGGTGTCAATTATAGATCATTGAACATCATCAGCTAATGAGTGACTCCAACCGTTTTCATAGAAGAGTCTTCAAGAACAGAAATAAGCAGTGTGGGGGAAGTCAAAGTTTGTGATAAATAAATGATACACAGTAACTTAACTGAGTATTTGGGAGGGCAGAACATATGTCAAACATGGTGATGAAGTTTCTTAAAATGTTGAGGGAAACTAAGTGAAACTATAGAATGCTTATGTTCACATGTCTTTACATTAATAACTGATTTGGGGCCAGGTGTGGTGGGTCTCACCTGTAATCCCAGCACTTTGGGAGACCAAGGGGGGCAAATAATTTCAGGTCAAGAGTTCAAGGCCAGCGTGGCCAACATGGTGAAACCCCGTCTCCACTAAAAATACCCCCCCAAAAAAAAATAGCTGGGTGTTGTGGTGCATGCCTGTAGTCCCAGCTGCTAGGGAGGCTGAGGCAGGGGAATTGCTTGAACCTAGGAGACAAAGGTTGCTGTGAGCTGAGATCATGTCACTGCACTCCAGCCTGGGCAACAGAGTGAGACTCCATCTCAAAATAAGAATAGTAATAATGATAATAATTGAATTGAAACTATCTGCAATAGCTATTAATAGGTTTTCAGATTTATTTTACCTGCAGAGGTAAAAGAATATATCGTAAAATCTTTCAATTCATTTTTACCTCTTTGGTTCAACCATTGCATGGGGAAAACAAACAAATTTTCCTAGTAACATTTAAACTCCTTGAAAGGAATGACTGCAAAACCTAACACATTTGGGATGCTTAACAAATAACACATTAATAATGTTAGCTCTTAAGATCAAATGATATAATCTGATATCTAGGCCTAAAGCTTTATTATAATCATAGCTTATTAATAAATGTGCCACACATCATGCACACACTTGTTCATGT